TATGCTACCGTATGTTGCTAGAATTTTGAAAAAAAGGCGTAAAGAGCACGTGGATGATGTAAAATATCTAATGAATGATCGATAATTTACAATTTTAAACTGATATATTTGAGAAATTTTCTTTTTTTAATGTACTGATAACTTTGACAATCTTTTCACGTGAAGAATATATTTCCTTTTTTCTTTGACCGCTTCATCTTTAAAAAAAAATAAAAAATCTTAACCCCTTTTTGGTTTAAATAAAATCAGATGTTCAGTAGAATTTAATAAAAGTTGATGAAATGAGTAATTAAAAAGTTGTAGACTCCATTAAATGTGTTGTCAAAATGACTTATTGATTTTGACTTAAATTTTAATTTAACTTTTTAGTTGAATGAACGATGGCTTAAGATTATTATAATTTTCGTATTATAAGACTATAAAAAAAAATTATTTATAAAATTAAAAGAGATAGTATTAAGGCCTCATTTGTTCTGACTAAAATCAGATTTTAATTTAAATCAAAGTCAAACAATCAATATTAACCACATCTTTTATGGGTTCCACAGCTTTTCAACCACACATTTCAAAAATTTCTATCACAATCTACTAAAAATCTAATTTTAATCCCCACCAAACATCCACTAAGATGATAGAATTATGATATTTGTACCATATGGATTACACTCTTGTTTATCCGACTCCACCCCCTCTCTCACATGAGGGTCGGGTCCCACATCCAATAAATGTGTGGGACCCGACCCCATATGATGGAGGTGGTGGACCCGAATAAATAAAAATGTAATTCATAGGGTACATATAGCATAACCCAAGAGGATAATAGTATTTACATATGACTGAAAATCCTTTCCTAAAATAAAACCAGTTTTCATCCTCCCACGCCACGTGCTATGCTTCAACAAGGAGAAGAAAGTGAACTCGAGGAATTTCTCGTAACTTGTGCTGACTGTACTTCGTCCTACTAATGCCAAAAGGGCACGATTGTCTGCTTTAATGGTCAACGGGAACGATAAATATCTTAGGCTCCATGGAGATTAAGCCACGTTTCGTTTAGTTAATATTTAAATATTTAGTAATTTTGATAAAAGTTAATAAAATGTATAGTTAAAGATTGATAAAAATTATGAATTTCATAAAATATGTAATTAAAAATAAATTTTAAAAAAATGAGGCTGAAACGGGAGCTTAACAGACTCAATTTTAATACTAAATTAAAAAGGAAAATCTAGACGGGTGATTTTGATATTCATTTAGGCAATCTAATTAATATTTAAATCAAGGTCAACAATTAGTTTTAACATAATATTTCATAGGACTCACAATTTTTCAACTACACATTCCATTAATTTTTATCAAATGGAAAATTCCACATCTACAAAATTAAATATGATTTATTTCAAAACTAACAGGTCACGTATTATTCTTTGGACACGAATCACAAATTTTATAAGTCGTGATTTATTTCATGGTTACAAGATATCAAAGTAATTGGTCACAAATTATTTATAAAGCAAAAAATATCAAATTATTGGTCACAACTTAACAAATTTTTAGGTCGCTTGTTATTTATTGATCGCAAATAACAAATTTTTAGGTCATGTGTTATTTATTGGTCACACATTAATCAATTTATTGGTCACAATCATTCAAATAATTTGTGACCACCACCACCTCACCACTACACCGTCGCCAGATCCACCATCACCACCTCACAACAATCGGCAACACCACCTGAATGTTCACCATTTCAACCAAACATCCATCACTAAAAACCAACACTACTTTACCACCATCGTGATGGCAACGACGACGACACCATCAACACCAACACAACCGTTTGTAACCATCAACTCACCACCCCAAAACCATCAACAACACTAAAACATGGAAACCACCATGCCACCACTACTCCAACAACAAAAACCAAGATCTCAATGTCGGTGGAAATTATTAGTAGTTGAAATGCTATTAACATGAATTATAGTCAATAGTCTGTGGTTGAGTGGACAGTTTCGACGATTAAGTCCGGTAGCCTTTTCGAGATCTATGATCCGGGATTGTTCGTAGATGTCGAATCTATGTGGCTAATAGCAGTGGTGGCAGCTCGATATGTGAGATCCAATCCGATAAGAAGGTCTGGAATGGTGGGGAGGGGACATTGTAATGCTGCACATCGGCGTCGTGAGTGCCGCGACTGCTTCAGAGTGACGAGGCCTAGCAGCTTTGCTTCAGAGCGACGTGGCTGTGGTGATAGCGTCTTGAGCGTTGACATCATGAGCGCCGCGATGATGTGTAATAAAGAGATAAGAGAGATGTGAGGGATATGGAGAGAGAATGGAAATGATAGAGAGAAAGTAATTAGTGTTTGTGAGTTGATTAATTTTACAATAATATTATTAATATTAAAAGTTTGAATTATGATCTTATTATTGAATAAAAAACGTTTAAATTTGAATTTTGAAATGGAAAGCTAAAAAACATGACTATGTATAATTTCCACATTATCAAACTTCGTTAAAATTCTAATTTTAATCTCCACAAAACATGAGCTAAGTCTTGAACCAACACGTTTATAATTAGCGGATCCATTGAACAATCCATTTGAATTTTTTATTAGATTAGTGTAATTTGTACACTGGGTAAGATATAAACTTTAAATAAAAATATTTTACTCTAACGAACTTTTCACTGTTGATGTGATAAGAAAACTTACAAACTTACTTATAGTTCAAGCAGAAGATCAATTTCATGTACACTGGACTGATTTCACTTTTATGGGACTTATTTGACCAGTTGCAACTTGTCTTTTAAGATTTAGAAAATTATTTATCATTATTATCTGAAAAATGTTATTTGTACACCGGGGTGACCCCCTCACAAGAGAGGGGGCCCACGACCAATAAAAAAATCGTGGGCCCCCTCTCTTGTGATGGGTCTGTACACCGGGGTGTCAATCCTGGTGTACAAAACGTAAGTTTGCTTGTGTGTTTCAAACTCATGGAGGGACATAATTTATTCTAAATTATTAGATCAGGAATA